AACGCGGCGGAACCGCGTTCCGGCACCTTTTTCCGGGCCGGCCGCACCGGAAATAGCCCCTCCCACACCGGAAATAGCCCCTCCCAAATTTTACTTGCATTCCTGTTCTCTAAAGGGGCGGTCCTAGGGTTTGATGAGGGCGTGGCCAGGTTTGAGTTCCGCCACCTTTTCTCCGAGAAAAAAAGCCCTGGTTTTAGGACTAGGAAGATCCACATTCAAATCCCGGCTTATATAGGAAGATTACTGAATGACTTTGGGCATTCACTCTGTTTGCCTATCTTATCTCCCATCAAGACATTTACTAGGATAAAATTGTGTGGACTTTGGGGAGAGAAAGTGAAGGACCAGATATGGTGTCCTAAGATGCACTTTTGTTTTCTTCCATTCAACCCCTCCAGCTTTCTTGGCAAGGTTTTTCATAAGTGGTTTGCTATTGTCACCTTCCTAGGTATGAGAGAAAGTGATTAGCCCAAGGTCACCTAGGTCAGTGTTTCTCAACCTTGACAATTTTAAGGCATGTGGACTTCAACTCCCAGAATTCCACAGCCAGCAATGCTGGCTGTGGAATTCTGGGAGTTGAAGTCCACATGCCTTAAAATTGTCAAGGTTGAGAAACACTGACCTAGATGGCTTTGTGCCTAAGACAGAACTAGAACTCACAATCTCCCCGTTTCAAGCCTGATGCTTTAACTACTACGTGAAACTGATTCTCTAAGACAGGGGTCTCAATCCCCAGTCCGCGGACCGGTACTGGGCCATGGCATACCAACAACTGGTCTGCACAAACAAGCAAAGCCCCATCCGTGGGATGCAGGCAGCACACAAAACCACACACTCTCCGGTCTGTGGAAAAACCTTTCTCCACAGAACCGGTCCCTGGTGCCCAAAAGGTAAGATACACTTAGGACAGGATAAAACCATAATTTAATAAATAAAGTATATATTGTTTGATGTCATCCTTGCCTGATATATTTCTTTGTTAATCTCCTTTCCCACAGATTTGTTTTTATTGATGGGAAATGTGAATTACAGGCATTTTAGAGCTATAGACGGATGACTCATTTTACATATAAAAAGAAATGTCAAATAGCTACTGGGTTTAACTGATAAAACAAGATTGGTTCTCTTAGGTGATGGCTTCTGTTTGGTTTCCTTGGCTGCTAGATTTTGCTAGGGGCATATTGCATATTGCATTTATTATTATTATTATTAAGAATTTGACATTTCTGCTTTAACACAACTGACTTGAATAAAAACCTCATACATTATCTGCACTTTTTCCTTTCTAGCAAAGCCAGGACTCTTTTTGAAAAGAATGCAGCCCCAATTCTCCACTTATCTGGTCTGGATGTGACTGTGGTGAAGGTAAAGACTAAAGAGAGTTTTGCAATGTCTCTTCCTGGAAAAAAGAATTCCTCTTTTGGTATATTTTAGCCACAACCCAGTTTTTCCTAAGGGAAAAGGGAAAATAAATCCTCTAGTTGATAATTACTATTTTTTAAAAAATAAACCATATCTTTTTTAGGAAAAAGCTAAGTCTTTAATTTTTAAGGATAGATATAATATAGTATTTTGACATATCAGTTATTTATCGCAACATGCAGGCAGAAGAGTTGGTAATTCTTCTTTGAGAAGCAGAATACATCCCCACCTCAGAACTGCTACAAAGTATTTGAGATTGGTTAAGAATGGTATTTTGGCTCTTTCAGAATATATTCATTTGGAAGGCTTGAGTTTGGTGATGAGGGTGTTAAAAATGAAAGGAAGGGAAAAGGTGAAATTGTTAAACTGTTCTGAGTTAGTATTGTGAAGGTTGTATAAAGGATATATTGCATGGCTTTTCATTTGAAGCAGAAGAGTGTTAAATGCAATGTGTTTCTTGTTAACTCAGACAGATTATGAAGGGCAAGCAAAGAAGTTGTTGGAGCTGATGGAAAACACTGATATGATCATCATTGCAGGTGGCGATGGAACAGTGCAAGAGGTACTGTGAGATTTTTTTCTACCCATCTTTTCTCCAGCACCTAATCCAGTGGTGGCGAACCTATGGCACGGGTGCCAGAGGCGGCACTCAGAGCGTTCTCTGTGGGCACACACGCCATCGCCCCAGCCCTAGGCCTTCATCTGGGTTTAATAAAACCTTTTCGCTTTAGGCCTCCGCCGCCATGTGCAAAAGAAAAAAGGTTCAATCAATCAGTCAATTTCAACTTCTCATGAAAAAAAAAAAGATCTTGCAAAGTTGGAATTGATTGATTGAACTTTTTAGTCCCACCCAGTCTGCCGTTACCACCGCAGCCATGCCCACCCAATGGGCCACACCCACCCGGCACCTGACGATGCATAAGTGGGTTTTGGATTGCAGTTTGGGCACTCGGTCTCTAAAAGGTTCGCCATCACTGACCTAATCTATACTGAAAACAGAAAAACTTTTAATTTTTTATCATAAATTATAATCTTAATATATGGAAGCTTTGGGTGATTGTAAACCTTTAAGTTATCACTAGAAGAGGTTATCTGTTCTCTAAATCTGCAGATTATCTCAACCTATGGGCTCATGTACACAAGACATGTTCAGAAACTCTTCTTCATGTTTGTGCATATTTGTGTTTAAATGATATACAAAGTAAAGCCTTCCTTCCTTCCTTCCTTCCTTCCTTCCTTCCTTCCTTCCTTCCTTCCTTCCTTCCTTCCTTTTCTTTCTTTTCAGGTTATAACTGGGCTCCTCCGAAGAGCAGATGAGGTAAGGTATATTTTTCTAGTGCAAATTTAATTTCAAAATTCTAGCCATCCTGTAATTTTTATAGTCAGTAATTATTACTTGTTAATATTAAATTGTAAGCCCTACTAATTTCTTGGTGTTTCATCTAGCTTTTCATCAATTGTACCTGAACTTGTAAATTTGTACCCTGCCTTCCTGATTCTTAATGATGGAAGTGGAGGCTGTTACCATAGAATTCCATTCCACATGTGAGGGAGAATGCAAATGGAGTCCAGATGCTCGTATTTCTATGTGCAGAAGCATTGCTTTTATATGAGCCATCATCTTCATTTTGAAATGAAACAAAGTGAAAACCTATTTATTATCTTATGGAAAATTAGCCTGCTGTTTTGAAGTGGATCAGCTTTTGATAAGCTCCAGCTAAATATAACAGAATCACAGAATATCTCATTGTACTCAAGAGAAATTTATAATCGGAACAGGAAGCTACCATGCAGGCGGATCATAGTGAAACAAAGTGGTTCCAGGTTGGCAAAGGAATGTAACAAGGCTGCATCTTCTCCCCTACTTTAACTTATCTGCTGAATATATATTAAGGGAATCTGGATTGGAATTTTACTGAGTGACTTCCACTTCTAATATGTCAAGAGAAACTTAAGGATATATGGCTTTATATCAAGAATTTCAGCTTATGTATTAACATAACTTATTCCATGTTTTACTAGAATTTTCCCCTCCCGCCCCAACAAAGAGGAGGAGGCATTTTAATGATTCAGTCAAATATTTAAAGGATCATTATCAACTAGAACTACACAGTTGCTGTGTAGAGGTATGATCAATGGAGAGACACAATTATATTTCAGAATTGATGCATTTCAGTTTAAAAAAAACCTTTATAGTTGAAAAAAAAAATTGGCCAAAAGGTATAGCATGTTGGATACGTTCACCACCTTGAGTTATTTGTAAAAACAATAAAGGCAGGATACAAATAATTAAATAAATTATGTTGTGGCAGCTTACCAAAGACCATTATGAAGTCCTTCCATCTATTCCACATTACCCACACAGTGAAAACATTCTTGGATAAATAAACAATGGGTCAGTGATAGAGTGAACAGAGAATATGTTTCTTATCACTCCAGCACTATTTCACACTTGAGAAGTATTTACTTTGTATATTTGGATTGCCATCAATGGCAGGATTACACAACAACTCTTTGTGTCTTGAGAATGGTATGATAAGAAGCAGCATGGTATCCTATTCTTTCTATTGCATTATTATGGTGCAAAAGTGAGATTCAAGTGGCAGTAAAAAAACATTTTTAAGGTATAAATCAATCTTCATTAGGTAGCTTTAATGGCTTTAGTGCAAGTTAGTATCTACTTTAATTTACCAATGATTATAGGATGATCTTAAAAAGTGAGGATTATCGTTTCAATAAGCTTGATCAGAGTTCACATCAGCACAAACTAATTTTGTTTGGTGCTTGCATGTTCTTGATGCTATATGATAAGAGGTGATACATATTCTTCTCGCTATCCCAACCACTTGGAAAACGTATCTTATCCTTTCTCCTATTTCTGTGAAGGTGCTAGATTATACATTGTCACTGCTTAGGAACTTCCTCCACATCTTTTTTTCCTTCAAACTTTGTTATTAATTTTCTATTATTACATTTGATTAGTGCTTAATAAACATCACGTTGTCTGGTTTAATTTGTATGCTTAATAATACAAGTTACATTCTTAGTCTCTACCCCTTTTTTCCAACGATTGATAAAATAAATTCCACATTTGAAAATATTCTGTATCTTCTTTCCCTTTGATTTTCAATGTAAGTCTGTCCATTTCAGCACAGTCCAATATCTTCTTGATTATCTCTTTGTCTAGTGGTGTTTCTTCATTCTTCCCGTGCTGAGCAAATACACATCTTACTTTTTTTTTTAGTGGGTTGGCATTAAAGTATTTCTCATAAATGTTCACTCATTTTTTTCAACTGTACCTTGTATAATAAAGTGTCACAATGTTATTTCAGTGTAGCCCAAAACTAATTCTGCGCAATGGTATTCTGCAAATGCTGCAGGTCCTAGTCCCATGTAACATCCTGTCTAATTAACTCCCTGGTCAGAAAGACAAGAAATCCAGACTCCCCTGTTGTGAGGTAGGAGGAGAAAGTCAATTGAGGAAGGGGACTGCAGTAGAGAACTTAATAATAGAAAAATGTGTAGGCAGAAATCATGAAAAACCATAATGAAATAAATTAGATTTTTGAGAAAGGGTGCCGCAAGCTGCAATAATCTGCAGAGATTCAGGATACTGTGGTTACATGGTTATTAAACTTGATTTGCTATAACTTTGCTATAACTCTTCAAAGAGCACAACTTATGACACTGTAAGGGGACTTACAACAGTTCATTTAGTGACCATTCGAAGTTACAACAGCATTGAATGACCATTTTTCACACTTACGACCACTGCAGCATCCCATAATCAAATGATCAAAAATGTAGATGCTTCACAACTGACTCATATTTATGACAGTTGTCATGTAATCTCCTTTGGCAACTTTCTGACAAGCAAAGTCAATGGGGAAGCCAGATTCACTTAACAAGCGTGTTACTAACACCTGCAGTGATTCACTTAACAAATGTGGCAAGAAAAGTCGTAAAATGGGACAAAACTCACTTAACAAATTTCTCACTTAGCACCATAAATTTTGGGCTCTATTGTGGTCATAAGTTGAGAACTACCTGTATATCCAGAGAAATCGGGACTGCATTTGAAACTTCAAATTCTAAGCCATGACTCATCATGTGATTTTTTTTTTCTTTTCTTTTTAATCAAATCGCTTCTGTATCCATACTGTGTTCCCTTCTGTTCTTTCCCTCTTCTCCAGTTGGCAGAGATAAAGAACCATTTGTAAATCTATGTGTTTAAAAAGAGTTGGTTAATTGTATATTCATGTTCAACCAGTTTGATTGCCAGGGTGCTGTTGAACTTTCTTTTTACTGGGAAAGATGCTTTGAATTACAGTGTTTATTTCTGTCTCTACTTTGCTTGGAGACCAACAAGGCATAAATGTTTCCTCTATGGCCCAGATGCTACCTTCCACTTTATTATCGATAGCTGGTTCCTAATGGAATCATACGTTGATTAGGGCCTGTGTGCCAGCTTTTCATAACAATGCGCCTAATGATTACCAAAGCCTTCTTTGGAACCAATTAACACTTGGAGGGCTGTCAAAATAATCCATTATTCTGAGCCATTCTTTGCTACAGTCTCTCAGGAAGTGCCTGCCTGTTCCATTCCATGGAGAAAAAGTGGAGGGGGGTGGGGAGATGATATTTAGCAAAATTGTGCTCCATGAAAAAGGGAGTTGAATTAAGTTGATGCAACTTGTTTTGTTCTTGTTCCCAGGCAGCTTTCAGTAAAATTCCCATTGGATTCATTCCTCTTGGAAAGAGCAGCACTTTAAGTCATACACTTTATACTAAGATTGATAACCAAGTCCAGTAAGTATGAATTCATGGTGACATTGAAAATCCATTTACTTTTTCAGTACTTAAAACAGTATATTTCATTTTTAATCTATTTGTATTTTAAAAAGTGTTTTGCAGATACAGTATATGGACTCTGTTACTTTTCTAGCAATATTATGAAATCTGTTGCTCTGAAAGCGTGCCTATCTGTTGCTTAACAAAGATACAAATCTCCATCTGAACAGCTTAAAATCTATTATGATCACACTAAGCGATAATGCACTTTATTTGGTTTTTGCTTGGCATGTTTTACAAAACCAATCCCCCCTTCCATCGCTCTGATCCCAGCTTGGTGGTCTTGCTGAAGCCCTTCTCAAGTTAATGTTGCTGAAGGCTACTTCTTTTTGTAATAAGGCTGATGTCATTCATGATTTGATTAGGGATAAAGAGGGTATTACTGACATAGGTGAGTAAAGATGGAGGGTGATGTTTGAAAAAGATCCACCTGATTTCCATATATTGCATCAGTCTCAACTCCAAGATGTCAGTGTAGGAGAATGACTCTTCTCTATCAGGCAACCCTGACAGACACTTGGACTCAGATGATCTGATGTTAGATTGGGAAGACTTAGAACAAGCTGGGGATGTTTGTGTTGTCTGGTCCTTTCAGCTGCATAGTGGCATCCCTGCCTAACTGTTCAAGCTCACCTCTGGATTGACAGCTGAAGCACCTAGCCTGATAGGTTGGGTGATTTCAATCTGCTGTCCCTAGAATTATTGTGAGAAAGTTCAGGATTTTGAGGCAGCCACCAGAGTAACAATGGGCTTATCCAAATAATCACAGGCCCAATGTGTTGGGGATTGGGGGAAAACCATTAAGTTTGGTTTAAATGTCAGAGCAACTCAGTTTTGACATGGTCATGGTCCAACGGTGGGAAAAAGATACAGGTCACTTCTGGGTGACTATGGGGTTGGCTGATGCCACAAACATGGAGACATGTCAGCCTTGCAAGATAGTCCAGACAGGAAGCACACCTTAAATATACTACCTCTGCTTTATTGTAATGTTACATTAACAGAAATTTGCAAGTCTGAAAGTATATCTCTCTCCACCTTTGTAATCCAACTTCTGACACATTTGCCACAGACCTATTTTTTTCTATGGACTCAGCTGCTGCTTGTCTGACCATTGTCTGGTTTTGACTCTTCCTCTTGTCCCTCAAGGGACAAGAGCAATTAAATTGGTCCACACCAGGCTTTGGGTTTGACAGGTTTCCCAGTAATTGGAGGGTATTTCTGTCTGGAGCCTATTGATATTTAGAATAGGGAGGCATCAAGGCCTCTTAATAGAATTCTTCCTGAGTGGCCTTCCCTTTGTGTTGATCATAAGGTTGTCCTTGGTTTTTTGAATTCTGGAAAATAAGATGCCAATGAAGATGCCTAGAGAAACAGTCCCAAAGATGCTTTTTTTCACAAGGCAACTGGACTTTCTTATTTTTTCTTTGAAGACGTTTTACTTCTCATCCAAGAAGCTTCTTTAGCTCTGACTGGATGGTGGGAAATGGCAGGATTTAGACTCCTTGCGGATAGCTGGTCATTTGCATTCTTTTACTCAGTCGTTGAAGCCCCTGGAGGCTTACATGTGTCGTCAGAGTCACTTGAGTAGTGCAAATGGGGCTTAAAGAACTTGCTAAAAAAATGCAAATGACCAGCTGTCTGCAGGGAGTATAAATCCTGCCATTCCCCACCATCCAATCAGAGCTGAAGAAGCTTTTTGGATGAGAAGCGAAACATCTTCAAAGGAAAAAGAAGAAAGTCCAGTTGCCTCGTGAAAAAAGCACCTTTGGGACAACCATGACCTGGATGACTGAGAATCTCCATAGACATCTACGGAAACAGTGCTAATAACATCAGTCCAGTTAGACTCAAGAAAGAAGCAGTCTCCAATTCCCAATCCTTTCAAACATTCCAGAGTGATACTGAAGTTCAAGGTATTGAAGTTCACCAAACTATTTTGCAAAACTAGAAAGTTTGCAGTCCCTACATACCACATAATGGTAGGTGTTAAGTTCCAACACCTTTATTTGTTTCCTTGTTTGTTAAAATATATTAGCAGGCAATTCTAGAAGATACTAAGTTAGGAGATGCTAATTATATCAGGCTTGAGCCTAAGGCCATCAACACTGATAGCAAACTTTTCAGCATAACACTTTTCCAGTAATGGTATACAAGATGTTTTAACTGGAGATAGATTTGCTTGACTTCTATATTATTCTCTATTTTTTTCCTTAAGATGTATCACTGATGCCACATTGTCCATACTGAGAGGAGAGACAGTTCAACTTGATGTATTGCAGATCAAGGTAGCAATATTTCATTTGCAAATGTTATATTTTTGGAAAGTTATTTTTGTTTCTACACCTGCAGATTCTTATTTTGGGTCATATGCCATTGTGATTACTTGTTTTGATAGAGCCAGTTAATATAAAATAGCTTTTTTAAGGTCTACAAAAGAAATATATTGCAAAGGAATTATTACCATAGATAGCATAAGGTACTTGATTGGTTATTTAGCTAGGCAATTCTGTTTTTAATTTTTTGGTTATTGATGCAGATAACTTTGTCCACTGCCGAAACACACAATGATTTCACTCTGTGAAGCATATCTGGCTATCTTTAGGTTACCTGCTTCATACAGTGAAAATAGTTGCCTGAGAGGGAAGGGAAGGAGGAAGAAGGAGGAAGAAGAGGAAGAGAATCCTTTTATTTCAGCAAGGCACATCAAGCAAAGTTGCTAAATAATCCGTATTGCTTTTTGCTCACAAAATTAAATGGCACCCTGTTGAAAAGATGGAGCTAAAACCCAATTTGCATTAATTTATTATAATTTATCATTCTTTTCTATTGGACTTGCCAAGATAACATAGAATGGTCAGTATTTTTATTTGCATAAAAGCCATACATACTTATTCTGCTGATGCTAGTATCACTAGATTAATGTAATGTAAAGGTCTGGCTGCCTCTGTATAAAACAAGATTTCTGTTTTTGTGTTTTCCTTTATGGAAAGGGGAACAAAGAACAGCCAGTATTTGCTGTAAACGGCTTACGGTGGGGGTCTTATAGAGATGCTGGAGCAAAAGTCAGCAAGTAAGTAAATATTTGCCTTGAGCCTGTATTTGTGTCTATCTTTTCTCCTGTATGTTACTTCCATTGAGACACTTCCAAATTTATTGTTATCAATCTATTCTAGCCCAAGTAGCTGAAAGATTTCTGTTACCTCTGGTTCCCATTCCATAAGTTTTTTGACCATAGCTCTGCAGCTCTGATTATTGATTCCTTCTTCTCAAGGCATTGCTCTTCCCTCTCTTGAGAAAGAGTTTGAGTGATAGCATTTTACTAAGAGCCTGCCTAATTCATAGACAGCTACTTGACATGGACTGCGTGAAATGGATTTGTGATTTCTACTATGTACTGTATCTGTAATCACAAAACCATCTGGTGTCCATTGATCATCCATGGTCATCTGGAGAATATCTATTTTTGAACCAGACAGGATTGATAATGATATATAGTCACCCATACAATATAGGAGTATAGTGTTATAAGGTGTCACATGGAAACTCATACAGAGTTCTACATGTATGTACCGGTTATCTAAATGGTTATCTCTCTCCCAGGACTGAGATGTACAGTTCACTACTGTTTTCCTCCTAAGTACTCCTCTGAAGAAATAGGTACTTTCTTTCTAGTGAGCTATCTTGTGTTTAGCCTGGGATAACTTTTGATTTGTGGTAGATGTGGAAAGGGGCACAATAGGCTGCTTTTAGAATTGATATAAGGACATTGTATATTTGTATGTAGGCTGATTATGTGAATCTTCTGAGAGGCAGATTCAAATCGTTGTTTTTTTGTTTTTGTTCTATTTTAGTATACTTTTTTCCTGAACTTCTCTTAACTCTTACACTTTTTAGAAACTGATTAAAGTTTTAAGATATGAATGCACCTTGTATGGCTTCTGCAGCCGGAAGTTACCATCTCAGTACCCTTGCTTAGTAAGAAGTAAAAGCAGGATGAAAAACCTCATTCTGTACCAGTAGTATAGAAATAGCAATATGTCAGTGATTCTCAACATTGGCGACTTTAAGATCTGTGGACTTCAACTCCCAGAATTCCCCAGTCAGCAGAGCTGACTGGGGAATTCTGGGAATTAAAATCCACAAAGGTTGAGAAACACTGCAATATGCAATTAAGTACTGTAGTTCAGCAGACTAGGCTGGGTATGACATGTTAGACTGCTATATTCAGATGACCTCTAGACAAGCCAGATTTTACAAGCCACATCTGCATTAGCATGAAGCCAGAACCAATTGCACTATTCTTTTTTTATTGTCTCATTATTGTGTACAGGTGTAACAAATGCTTTTAAAATAAAAATTGTGTTAAAAATGCTAATTGCTTTCTTTAGATCTTAGTTTCACTTTTTTTGTTTTGTTATGTTCCAGATATTGGTATCTTGGGCCTCTGAAAATCCAGGCAGCCCATTTTTTTAATACATTAAAGGTAAAGGGACTCTAGTATCAATTACCCATTTTATTTTTATTATTGTTGTTATTGTTATTATTATTATTATTATTACTATTATTAATAATAATATTGCCGTGTTTCCCCAAAAGTAAGATTTTTTTTATTTTGGAGGGTGGGCCTAATATAAGCCCTATCCCCAAAATAAGCTCTAGTTTTGGGGTGAGGCACATGCCTAAAAATCAAGCTGGGATGGGGGGGTGGAGCTGCCCCACGCACCCCACACCCGCTTACTGTTGCAGCCAGGCCTCACATGAATTGACACCTGCCTCGCCTCACAGGCCCACTTCTTCTGTGGCGTCCCCCGGCCTGCATTTCGCCATCAGAGGCTACGGCTTCTCAGCTGCAGAGGCCTTTCCAGAAGGCCTCTGACAGTGAAATGCAGGGCGGAGCTCCATTTTCAGCTGCAAAGTCATTTCCTTTCACAGAAGAAGTGGGCCGGCTGGGCGGGGCTGTTGGTGCCGGTGCCGCAAGGTGAGACCATGGAAAAGACACACACCCCCCCGAAAATAAAACCTCTTTTGGAGGGAAAAAAAAATAAGACCACGTCTTATTTTGGGGAAAATAAGGTGTTGTTGTTGTTATTATTATTATTATTGGAAACTAAAAAAGAGTCATTTTATGTGCATCTAGTCCTCTGTCACACAATGGTCAGCTAAATGATAACAATGATGGATAACAAGACATTTGTTCTTCTCCCCTTCCCTTCCCTCCAGCCCTTAGAAGCTATTTAACACAAACTCTGTGATTCAGGAAAGAGTTACAGGTATTAGTACTACTGGTAACCCTCAATAGCCTGACTCGTCATTGTTGAATGTGGTAGTGATGGTATACAACAGATAACTGCACTATGGAACTGATAGTTTCAGCTTCCATAATGCAGTTATTTGTTGTATAAAGAAGTATTTCCTTGTCCTGAATCTTCTCATATGTAAATTCAGTTCTAATATTGCATCCAGATTAATGTTATAACGTATATTTGACTGCATGCACCACCACAGTCTCCCGCAGTCTCCTTTGTGAAGGAGTCGTGTGTTTTCCAAATTTGATGGAGGGAGGGAAGAATAAGGTTCCAGATTCAATCTCAGTATCTCCCTTGAGAAGGATTTTTTTTTTTGCTGATAATTGATAACAGGTCTGAGATTTAGTTATCCTTGTTAGAAGGCAGCTTCTTGTATTTGTGCATGCCACACGATCCTACTTGGATTGTTTGCGACTGTATAATTTTAGGTACCTTAAACAGATCTAAAACTGCTACTCAAGATGGAACTGATAGGAAGTCATTTGATGTATATTTTGCCAAGCAGGTAGTGGCAGAAGCAAAGGCCTTTTATAAAACAAAATCATGGAAGGCAGCTAAAAAAAATATTGCTGCACTATGAGTAAAATCAGCAAAAGAGAAATTAGCAAAGGGATGCTGTGATGCCGTGAGATCCATTAAAATCTACTGTACTCTGCTGTCTTCCTCTAGTGCAGTCCTCTCTTGAGGCATTTGTAATGCTAATAATCCACCCTATTCAGTCGGTGGTGCCTATAAATAGAGCGTAGAGGACTGTTGATAATTTGCCTCTTACAGCCAGCCAGTCTCAAATTGAGCACAAGGGTTAATTGCTGTAATTTTAAAGTTCTCAAATATTGAAGGATTATAATGTAAAGGAGACACATATTTTCTGTCAATGCCCTTCTACTGATTTCTTAACAAATAATAAAACATTCCATATTTTTGAAATGCTGCAACTTGAATGATAGGCATGATTCAAAGACCTGATGGAGATCATCTATCCCCAATTGGTAGTCGCTTTGTTCACTGCCCCTCTTCATCTTGAACAACAATATCTGTAATTACTAGCCATAGTATTAGTTTGGAATGATGAACAGGGAGCAGAAGGTGGAAAAGGTTTGGTTAGATTACAATGGTTTAGGATTAATATTTAACAGTTGGGGTGAAGGCTGTGGTGGACACAAAATGTCACATATAATTGTGGACTGGACAAATTGTAGGAATGGACAAAAATTTCGTTTTGAATTTTGGGGGAAGGAAGTTTTGAAAGCCTATTCTACAATTTACATTATAGTAATTATGTATTCCCCATCTCTGAATAGCAGAATTGCTGATTTTTAACAATTCTGCCACCGAAATGTAGCTATTCTCCAAGGATCACAAATGTTACCTGCTTTGGTTTAAACCACAGAATCCACAGCTTGCTTGTAGCTATGACACAGAAAGAAATATATTACTCATATCCATCCTATTGAACAAGGGAAATAGAGAAGTTGACAAAATGTGGACTGGATTATGCTATCCTTAGCTAAATACAAAGCTAAGTACAGTCCTCTCCAATGGCTTTTTGTCAGGCTTTTTTCTAGACCCAATGCTGTTAATATATTTATACATTATTTGGATGAGGAATTAGAAAACATGATTATCAAATTTGCATATGAGACAAAGTTAAGAGTTAGCTAGTAGCAAGATTCATGAGGAATCTGACAAGGTAGAACATCAAGCAAAAACCAGCAAGGTGAATTTCAGCAGGGACAAATACAAAACCCTAATTTTGATAGGAAAAATAAAATATATGTGCATAGGATAGAGGGGAGACACCATTGTTCTCCTCTCTTCTTCTTTGATACACATAAAATATTGTGTCCAATTCTGGCTGTCTCATTTGAGATAGGATATTGGACTGGAGCATGATAAGGTGCCTGAAGGGGGGAAAAAATTAAGAGGAAAGCTTGGGAACATGTTTAGCTGGAAGAGAGAAGTTTGCAGGAAAATGTGATAGCTATTTTCAACAATCAGAAGGGCTTTCTGTAGAAGATAGAAAGGATTTGTTTAGAATTATTCCAGAAGAGGGGGGAAGAAACAGCGAGATTCAGTTATGAGAAAGTAGACGTCAGTTGGATATCAGGAAAATTTGCTAAATGGAAAGAGTTTTTTAATAATGAAACAGTGGTGGATTCTCCATCAGTGAAGGTATTTAAGGGGAGACAGAATGGACATCTGTGAGGGATGCTACAGTAGGGATAATCTCTAAGGGACTTTTCAGTGCTTACATTCCATGATTTTAGGATCAGTATTAAAATGGGTGTAATCTTTAAATCCTTTCATTTATTGAAACAGGAGAGTAAATTAAGTTTCTGCATGCCACTATTTCTTATTCAGAAATTCTGAGATGAAAACATTGCTGCTTTTGGCCATGTATTTTTTACCTAGGCTCCATGCTTTTTTCAGTACATGTGGTTTATTAAAAAGGTAGCCATAGCCATTTTACTGTTCAAACTCCTATGTAACTTTTGCTGTTTCATATCCTGCTTTCTCTGGCAGGGGGGATGATGCTGTGTTTAAAGACTGCATGTTTTTGCTCTTCCTTGTGAAACATGATAGGGCTTATGATTGACCTATGCATTCAGTGGGAAATGACCTGAATAATTCAGTTGCAAATAGCTAACAAGGGCAGAAACAGAAAATGGGATGGTTAATGTTTCCCTCCCTACCACTCCCCTCAGGACCTTATTCCCTAAATCAGAATGGAGAGTAGCCAGTGGAATAACTGAATGGGGAAAATAGCCTTTTTCCTATCCGTGATTTCCTATCTTGCTGTCTGTCACCTCTCTGCACCTGTTTTGTGGCCACCAGTTTCTTCAGTCTGTTTCTGCGTTGGAATGCTCATGCATTGTCATACTCTGTTAATACTGATGCTTTCCTTCCTTTTTGCCAAACTCCAAGGAGTGGCCTCAGAAACATCTCGCTTCCCTTACCTATTTGGGCCCTGTTCCAAGGCCACCTGAGGAGCCAGAGCCGAAGACATCTCGACCTCCTTTACACATTAGGCTTTACAAGAGGCTTGCGTATTATTGGACACCCGCTCCCAAAGGTAAGCAAAATATGCCCAATGTGAAGTCCTGGCCCTGCTGGTTGGCATGGGAACCAAATGGGGGAGTTTCACAGTAGAGGGGGCTGCTAGATTGATAGCAAACTCCACCTCCCCTCCTTGCTGTTTGCTTTCCACCTATCCATTTTTTTTTTGCTTATCATATTGAAACATTATTCCGTTGTGTTCCTTAATCATTGTTTATTTTATTGTTCTATTATTTTACTTCTGTTTGCCTTCTGTCTTTCATTTTTCTTCCTTATTATTATTGTAAGCCACCCGGAGCAGCCCTACGGTGAGATAGGCAGCAAATAAATTTAACATAAATAATAAATAAAATAGGGACAAAATGATGAAACAAACAAAATAAAATGGTGCATTGTCTAACATTCCCCCTAATTTTCTTTTCTCTCTTGGACCTCAGAAATCCCAAAGGAGGAGACTCCAGAGTCCTGGCTTGAAATTCCACTGTCTGCTCTTGAATTCTCTGTCACTACTCAAAACAAGAATCTTGACCTGAAAGTAAGAGAATAGAAGTGCAATTCCCCTTAACAACTTTTCCCCAATTTGACCATTAGGTGCTATTCTGTGGTACGTTTCTTTACTATTGACAATCAATCCTTAAAGGCAGAAATTATCCACCACTTCAGAGTCTTCGTTGCCAATTTTAAACCTGGTTGCTGAATCTGTTGTCATTAGTTTGTTTTTCTTTATGTTTACCCGAGACTGATTTTTTTCACTATGCTCCTTTTTCACTCAGATGTACTACTACTGGAGCTTGGAGATCATTTGCATTTTCAGCTATCAAGTTGTGCATCAGCACAGTGCAGATTATTGATGTTTCTTTCTCCAGCCTTAAAATCACATTCATCTTCTTCTTATCCAGTTTCCCTTTATTTATATTCTGTATATAGATTGAATAAAAAGGGCAAGAGTATACAGTCTTATTCCATTCATTTGCAGATATGAAAACATTCTATTTTTTCATGTTCCATCTGGACTGTGTCTTCCTGACCTGTGTATAATTTTCATATAAGTCCAATAAGATTTTCTGGGATTCCCATTTTTTCTAAATGCATTTCAGTTTGACATGACTGACACAATCAAAAGTCTTTCTATAATCAATGAAGCACATATCGACTTCTTTTTGGCAGTCTTTGGCTTTCTCAGTTATCCAGCTTTTATCAGCAGTACTATCTTATGTTCTTGGCCTTTTCTAAAGCCAACTTGAATATCTGGCATCACTCTTTCCATGTAGGGCTCTAACCTTTGTTTGGTGATCCCAAGTATTATTTTGTTAGAAATTAAGGCTATTGTACAGCAGTTTGCATACTCTATTATGTCATCTTTCTTTGATATAGCAATAGCAAGAGCACTTAGACTTATATANACCACTTCATGGTGCTTTATAGCACCTTCTAAGTGGTTTACAGAGTCAGCATGTTGCCCCCAACAATCTGGATCCTCATTTTACCAACCTCAGAAGGATGGAAGACTGAGTCAACCTTGAGCTGGTCAGGATTGAACTGCGGGTAGTCAACAGAGTTAACCTACAATATAGCATCTAACTACTGCATTACCATGGCTCTTAAGTTTAAGTCCTCAAGCTTTTACACTTGGAAAATTCTTACTAGGTAATATCTTTATCATACATTTCTTAGGAAATCTGCCCCCAACAATCTGGTTCCTCATTTTACCAACCTCAGAAGGATGGAAGACTGAGTCAACCTTGAGTCAGTCAGGATTGAACTCCTGGCAGTGAGCTGATTTAGTCTGCAATACTGCATTTTAACCACTGCATCACCACGACTCTATATGGTATATAGAATGTTATCTTCCAATCTGTTGATTACTGTCTCATTCTCCAGATTTGCTGGCAGTTTGGTTATACCTTTACAGATTCATCTGTTGCTTGCCATATTTCTATAAATATGCCATCAATAACTGTCGCCTTCTGACTTGGTAATATAAGTGTTTATCTAATTTCATCTTCTAGTAATAGATTTTTTTAAAAAAATAGGGACTATCTTCTAAGATATCTTGAGTGTTGACTTTTCTACTATATACAGTAGAATTTCAACACACTCTTTCCATCTTTGTTTGATCTCTGAATGAGTTCCCATCTGTCTGGTGGCGTTCTTGGCATACCAATTCAAGGTTGGAACCTTGTCCTGAATTCTGAGATTGTTTAGAAGAGTTTCCTTGTTTTTCAGTATTTTCATTTTTGATGTCTTTATAGATGTTGCTGTAATACTGCTTCTTGGCTCTTCTAACATCTTTCTGAATTTCTTTGTTAAGTTTATTTCTAAGTTCTTTGTCTTCATGGCTTTGCCTCTCTTCAAATTTGCTTTTTTATTTCTTGATTTTAGACAATCACTTTTTACTTTTATTCTTAATAGTTTATTTAAGTTCCTTCCACAGTTTCTGCTGCGTTTAGTAGCTGACTTTGTCTTTTTAAGGCATATATGAGTAAATGTTAGACTGTCTTCTCATAGGAAAAAGCAAATATTTTCAGAGATATATCTGTCTAAAATATTTACGGGATGCTGAGTTATTAATACTAACATCTGTCTTTTGGAAATACTTGTTTCAGCGTGAAGAAGACTTCATGAATGTTTGTATTGAACCAGATACAATCAGTAGGGGAGACTATGTAAAAAGAGGGTGAGTACTAGAGAAGCTGTCCTTATGTACCTTATAGCCATAAAAAGAGGATGAATAATAGAGAACCTGTCCATATGTACTTTATCATAGCCATAAATTTCATGTATTTATTTGCTCTGTGAATATTAATAATTTAATCAAGGAGTGATTAAAACTAAAGAAAAGATTCTGGGATTTTCTATCATGCCAAAATTCATTGCAGGAACAGATTTCTTTATTATTTGTTAGACTTATAGCACATCTTCCCCAGAAGCTCTAGGTATCACTCCTTTTAGGTGGGCAAGGTCAAGGAACTGACATGGCAGGGATTCCAGAAATGTTCTTATCTCAGGGTAGAATAACAGAGTCTCGCAAGCTCCTCCTTAACAATTCTCCAGTTCCTTATTTGCAAGGCCAGAGCTACATTCCTTCATAGTTGGTGTACATAGTAGCAATAGCACATAAACCTCTATACGGCTTCATAGCGTTTTCCAGCCCTCTCTAAGTGGTTTAGAAGCACTGGCTGAGGAATTCTGGGAGTTGAAGTCCACAAGTCATAAAAGGGCCAAGTTTGAACACCCCTGATCTAGAATCTTCTCATTAACAAATATTCAGCAGAAGAGCAAGAAGATAGGCCCAATTCTGAAATGTAAACACAACTAAAAAAGCTGAAAGCTGCTTCACGTAGATATTTTTCATGCAGGTAACAATACACACGTCTAGCAATATCTTTGTTAACATAGAAAAGCAATTGCTGATGCCTTTAACCAGGCAACTGTATTGGCTTCTAAATCTGGAAATTTTCTGTGATACATCAGTGGCATAGTTCAGATGATGATTTAAAGTTTTGTGAATTATGATTTTATGTAACCATGGGGAATCATTAGAATTAAGATATACAAAATGTCTACAAACCCCTAATTAGAAATAACTAGCATACTTTCCTGTCATGTATATTTTCATTCTAACCTTTTAAAGCTAGAACTTTCTGATTATGTTCAGTTAGGATATTTGCATGAGGAAAATAAGTTTTGGTCCCAGCTTTTTCATTTTAAAGGATAGATGAACCCTGCATATGAACTAAGTTTTAGCTCATTTAAAAGACACAACTCTTTAAATGCTAAACCCATCCAAAATACATTGGGCTGAAACTTCAGTGTAAGTCTGCATGCAGATACCCCAAGGCTCATGCACCAGGTGTAGCAATTCCCAGGACTAATTTATTGACTGGACAAGAATGCACTACAAAAAATAATAATCAAGAGTTAGTGGTGTTTATAGCTCAAGTACTGTTCTTGGATCGCAGAGAATAGAAATGTGTGAATGGTCACAAATCTTTTAAAGAATGGCTCATGTAAAAAGGTTACACTGTTTTGTAGTGTAATGTAAAATGGTTAACTTCATCTGATAATACAAGGGCTGCTATTATTTACTATTTGCTTCTGAAGTTTTTTCCAGCTACTGAATTCTGTTTGTTATTTTTTTTGCTCATACTTTAAATCATAGGCATAAATATTTTCCTGTGTTCTTCTTATCTTGTTTTGTACAGAAGCCAAAAGATGAAGGACCCCCACCTGTGTCCTGAAGGAAGTCAATGTCTTCAGGCTAGCAAGTGCATTTTGCAGCTTCCAGAGGTGAGAGATCAAATATTAAGAAAATCATAGGTATGTTTATAAATGCTGAGATGCACATGGAGCTGGTTTTATTCTCTCCTACCTTAGAAAGAGTGGTGGCTTTTCTTCTTTTTGTGTAAAGAGATGGAATAGAGACATGAGTTTTGCTTAAGTAAGCTTTGAAGCAGATTCTCATGTCTCTCTGAAACAATCTGATTGACCAGCATTCATATCCTTGCTATTGGTAACTACCATTTTCATGTATGTGTATATGTGCATAATGTAATGGTGGTGGACTACTTCCAATTTGATCCTCTTACCATGATCTCGCTATATGCAAGATGGTAAGGTTAGTTTAGAAGGACAATTGTATTAGCAAGAATTTTCCATTAGGTTGTATGTAGGCCCAAAGATGTGTACTTAGATATAGCAACTGCAATAGCACTTAGACTTATATACTGTTTCATAGTGCCTTACTACTCTTTACAGAGTAAGCATATTGTCCCCAACAATCTCATTTTATTAACTCGGAAGGATGGAATGCTGAGTCAACCTTGAGCTGGTAAGGATCGAACTATTTGCAGTTGGCAGAATTAGCCTGTAATACTGCATTCTAACCACTGTGCCACCACATCACAAATACATTGAACATTATTATCCTTGCATAAAATATTTTTGTCTCACTGGCTAGGTCCCTTATCACACGAACTCCTAATGAAAAGTATTGGGTTTTGGTGTAGATTGTCACGTAAATCCAGCCAAATTTTGGCTTATTCAACACACTGTGATTAAGAAAAAAATAGCGTACAGTGAAACATGAACTCAGATACCTATTGGCTGGAAAACCTAACAAAATGCTTAGTTCCATGGCAATACAATTGAACTGTAATTTGGGACATTACAACATTTGGGACATGAATGTCAGATCTTCACTGCAGGCCCTGGTGCTGCTGAATTCTAAGGAAAACCACTGTCAAGATGTAGCTTGAGGCAGTGTGTCTGCTTTGTTGTCCTGTTGTGTGAAAATCTCTTGACCTCTTCATGTTTGCAGGATACAGAAGGCTCTTTAGCTATAGACAGTGAAGAGTATGAAGCAATGACAGTGGAGGTAAAGCTGTTGCCCAGGAAACTCAATTTCTTCTGTGATGCCAGAAAAAAAGAAGAAATGCTTCAAGGTATATCATAATCAAAGCAGCTGATTCAAGGTATACTGTAATCAAAGGGTTGAGTTGGATGACTGCCTGAACTGTTTAACGAACTGCGTCTGAAGACCACATATCTTTCCTTCAGTTATGATGAAAGCCGCCTTTTTCAAACTACGTATGTAAGAAATTGAGGAAGAAGAACTAAGGTGGAAACAGTTGGTTTTTCTTTTCGCCTGGTTCCAGTTATTTCACAAAAAAAATGACTTCCCATCTACCTCTGTGGCAAGTGTTTTCTAGTTAAAAAACTTTGGGTATAAACTTCCATTTGTAACCTGCATATGTACTTCAGGTCATTGAACATGTTCCTACTTTCCCTCATTTTGCTTCCTTTCCTATTTCAGTAGTTGAGGTATGGGCACCCCATCAGTGTTATGCTTATGTTTAGAAAAGTGATAAAAATTAATGTTTCAAGAGAAAAGTTATCTAAAATGTAATCACTAATAACTGATCAATGAATCATTAAACAAGCAGCTTGACTGGTAGCCTATCTTTGGTATTAAGCACATATTATTTTATTCTCGAAGAGAAAGGATGCAAAAAAGGATCAAATCTGGATCTTTTTGCGCGCAAAAGACCCCCAAATCTCTACTCCTATCAAGCTGATTTCTGACACCTAATATTTGACAAAGGACATTTCTTTTGGCACACAACCCACCTGAGTTTGGAATAACAGTCTTCTGGAGTTTTGTTTGCAGTAAGAACAAAAGGAAGCAGTTTACTTCATGTTTTGAGTGTTTTTACAGGCCACAGCTAGGTTTTGTTTTTTTTTAAATACCTTGAGTCAGCCATAAAGACTCAGTATGTTAATAAATAAAACTGATAATTTTCCTGTTGCCACTGGGTGGAGCTAGTTCAGAGAATTATCTTCCTGTTTACCTGTTAGGGGAGTTTATTTTCCACTTTTAATGATTTGTTTTGAGGCGTTAGATTGTAATGTGGTGTTGCCCATATGTTCTGTGCCTTTTATGCTGTTTTTATAGACGGATTGCCAAATGATGCACAGCATGTGTGCATCATAGTTACTTTGCTATTCAGTCTTCAAGTTACCAAATACTAAATATGTTTCTTTATTCATCTGTTGAGCTTTAAAGACAGGGCCAAATATAAAAACTGTATTGTACACGAACATTAAAAAGATATAAATTTATAGCTGTAAAAGTGAATTTCTGCTTTGAAGTTGTTCATGAACTGAAGTGAAACCATTACTAAATATTGCCTCTTTGATTGAGAGCTGGCATTGAAAAATTCATGCTTAATTATTGCTTTGTTTGCTATTTTTTAATTAAATATGAAAGCAATTGTCCTGTCCCTATTTTTTTCTTCTAAGATAATACATAATACACAATATGTTTGTAGATATCGATGAAAAAAGGTTGAGAGTGAGATTACTTTGATTTTTCATTGCTTCTGAGGGTACAACACAAAAAGAAAATACAGGTTTTATTCTACAGCATTAAAACACTGCATGTCTGGACTGTATTGATGGGACTATCCCAGGTTAATTTGTTTTGAGTTTCAGATTGTTGCACAATTCTAGAAATCGGTATGCTGTCCATAAAATAACTGAATATAACTGTTAATGTCCATGGGATAGGACAATTATACTGTACCATCAGCAATTAAAAAGTTCTTAAAACACAAGGGGCAAAGAGGGAGACCAAATAATTGAGTTATGAAGTTTCACATGACCCATCAAGCTGTTTTAAATAATCACCCAGCACAAATGATACCTGTGTTAAAAGTGAGTTTTAATACAGTAAAAAAGACCATTATATATGTACACAAGTCCTTTTGGGGTTCTATGTTAGCAATGAAATCCACAAAGGTAATGCTTTCTCTCTTACTGAAAGAAGCCACTGGTATAAAGAAAAGTGCTTAGTCACAAGTTAATGAGAAGATCCTAGCTGCCCGTCAAGTCATATTCACACTTAACATCTTTTCAAAACTAAGTTTATACACTAGAGTTAATTAAAAACAGGTGGGGAATACCGTATTACAGTTATTATGCAACAAGTTATATATGTTCTCTCATAGAAGCAGGAGGGATCCTCTCCCCAATAATTGGATAGTGCCTAAACCAAATCTTAATTTACACAGCTAATGGTGGAAATGTATTGGAACCTTCTTAGCTCAAAGGTTGCATGATGAAAATGGCTGCCAGAGATATGTCATTGCTCTTTTGTTGTTTAAGCCTTGCAGACTTAAGGCACCCACTTAGTTCCTTAAATCACCTCCAATAAGGGGGGGGGAAGGTTAGCATTTTTAAGGGGTGTATCAGAAAGATCTGCAAGGTTAAGGCACCCATTTCCCTACCCCCTTAAAACAACCTAATCACTATGGCAACAAAAAAGCACCCAAATTAGGACCTTTAGGTCTTCCGGGTTGTTAGCAAAATAATGTTGGAAAATCCGACTGGCATTTTTTTAAGCATCCTAAAACTCTACTAGGAAAAGGGCAGGCAACTCTTATCTCTTATTTTCTGTCTTGTGTGACTAACAGTATCTTCTGAGTTGTGCAGGGATCCACTCAGTTAGCAATTGGCAGTTTTACTTCCACTGGGCTAGATCCACTTTTGAGAGAGAAGCAGCAAACTTCTTTTAAAAAGATAGGTAGAAGCCATTGCAACCTTATTATATTATATAGTTTCCTAAGCAATCCATAATTCTCTGGCTGAAACTGATTCCCTTTGTCATTTAGATCAAGGAGGCAGACATACATCATCCAAATTTCACTGTTTGTTCCACATAGTGAATATGACCTTATAAATAAATCCACCAATTATTTTTTCATAGCTAACCATGAGTCACTCTAGCAAATTACAGCTTCGTTCGCCTTTGATCTCCATGGGTGAAATGAGCCAAGCTTTTACATTCCCTGAAAGTCATGTCAAGCAACATATGGTCTTGTTTTAAGGATGAGCCAATAAATTCACTTGCTAATTTTGACAATCAATCTACCTGTGTGTGTGAACTGCCCAGTGCTAGGAAATACACGTATGGATTATGTAAAATTGGTACTCGGGAGTGATTATGAACCCAAATGTTTGCTTTTCAAAAGTGGCTCGGTGCCCAAGCATGCTAGAACCTTCTGCTATTTAATGAAAGACTCAAAAAAATGAACTTGATATCATAGGCAAGAGAGTGCATGTTGTAGTCTGTATTAAATAGTAATTTCTACCTAAGCTATCTAATCTGTATTTAAGCAGAAATGCATCTTTAATTCTGTACAGTAGAAGGAACATCAGCCATTCATTAGTTGTACCTGTGTATAAACAAATTCATTCTCTAAGGGCCTATGCTTACGTAGGCAACACAGAACTATGCTTATATAGGCAAATCAGTGTAGAATATGAAGCATCAAGTTGGTGTGGCAGATTTCCAGTGTTTGCAAAAGCATACAAACATTAAATCAGAGCAGCCCAATGTACAATGGGCACAAAAAAGTGAGAAGGCTTCAGCTGACCCCATTCCCCCAAGCTTTGTCCAAGGAAGGCTTTTCAAGTTAAGAGAATTTGAACCACATTAATCATCACCTGCTCTCATGAATTCTTTTCAATTATGGTATTCAAGATGAAAGCTGTATTTGTTATATGGAGGCCTATCTAGTTCAATTTACGGTGAATTAATTATGCAATGGTATAATGCTGGAGGTGCAACCTGACCACGTTTTCCTAAATTGTGGGCACAGGGACATCATTAATATCATAAATTGAAGAAACTGAATCGTCGTAGTCGGTTTGTGCATATAGTACCTGGCAAAAATAATTGCAACATTTCCTGTAGATGCCACAAAAGTGCTCTTCCTGAACTCACAAAGAAGGCAGGTAAAAAGTGAAGACCAGCATAACTTCACACATCCGAGACCAGACTTTTCCTTATACCAAAACCAAGCAAGTTCATTTCCATAGTGTAATTCCAAAACTCATATGCAAATGTTGTATTGCTTTTTACAGGGCTAATACTGTACTAACTATGGCTGAAATTTTTTATAAAGGGTATCTTTAACTAGTTTCCCTCCCTTACAATAACCTGTATGGAAAGTGCCTTGGCACAGGATGTGCAATCTTTGAGCCACAACCCAAAGTCCTCATCTGGTGAAAATAATCAGAAGGCCTTTAGTTGGTTTTTTTGTTTTCTTGTTTCTAGTTGTTGTTGTTTTTAAAGAATAGAATGGAAACGGGACTTTGAGGAGATCATCTGTTTTCTATCCTAACCCACCTCCCCACAAATACCCAAACAGCTTGAAGCATGGTGACGAAATTCAGACTAAAAATTCAATAGCAAAATTTCAGACTAGTTTTTTTAAAAAAAGTTTCAATAAAGAAATAAATCGATTGTTTCACTGAAAATTGGCTATTCTACTACTGGACATTTATAAACTGTCTTGGAGAGAAGGGAGACAACATGAAGGCTCTTGGTTATAAGTTACTCGCCTCTATCTAAAGATCTATATAGGATTTAGAAGTGATTTTGAGCCCTCCAAATTACAGGGTTGGACATCATGAGCAGAATTTCAATATTGTTTAAAAAGAAAGAGGTCTCAGCAACATATAGAGCTCCTGCATACTTCATGCTTGCTCTCTTCTGTTTCTCAGAAAAGACTAGCTAAATTATGCAAACTAAATCAGGCAATAAATACTGTTTCTTGTACTTATTAATTTGGCAATCATTTTGTTGCATCAGAAATCTCTCATCTGTATTCAGAATGCCACTGCATATATTCTGCTATAAGAGAATGAAGGGGAAAGGAATAACAGGAAAAACAAATATTTCCCATTAAGGGTCCTATACCTTCATAGTATTTTTTTTCCATTTAATTAGCCATCCCCACCATTGAACATTCAGCCCAATGCTCTGTTCAGTAAGCAGGCACCAGGTTTAAAAAAAAGCCACAAATTTCCTGTTGTTTTTTTTTTAATGACCCCACTCTTTACCCACAACTTCAAAGGTTTTCTGCTTTTCCATGATCTGGCCTTTGCCTTCATAGGAAGGAGGAAGCAGAAGAATGAAATGCTGTCTCTTTAAAAGCAGGCAAAAAAATATCAAATATTTATATCCACTGCAACAGGAACCTGCTTATGCTTTCAAAGCAGAGAAATAAAACATACCCTGTAGGATGAGATGTTCTTCTGTGTCCCGTTTAACAGCTGGACAAATAGATTATAAAGGTGCCCAGTAAGTAAGATGGAGCATATGACAGATGGTTATGACAATCACACCCAATTCTGTCTGTACATCTTGCCAACATTTCTTTCTTTCTTTCTTTTTTTGCTAGCCCAGCTGCTCTATCTTTACTAGCAGCAACCCATATCATTCAATGTTTAAATAGTGAAGCTTTTCCTAGCATGCCCATGAATGCATCAAGTTTTCATCTGAATTTCTATCCATCGGGCTAATATCAACAGAACAGAGCCAGTTTCAATTGCTCTAATGTGTTCCATATCCGAGATTTACAGCTATTCATTGCATGAGTTGATGGACAACACATTGTCTTAGGGTGTAATAAAGAAGCACTAGTGCAGCTCAGTCTCACAGCTTATGTTCTCTTTACCATGGGTAATCTACAGCAATATTTCTCAGTCCTGGCAATTTATACATGTGTAGAAATTCTTCAGCCAACAGACCCATTTCTGAAAATCCTGATTTACAGGATTCTCATTCTAGACCTCCCTATCTCCAAGCATTCTTGTGGCATATTCTCTGTGGCAGCTTAGCAAAACAAGAAGCAAAGATACCGGTTTAAAAGTTTGTTCATGTACAAATCCCATACACAACAACAAAGGATATCAAGAGGATCAATTTAACATCTAATTACAGAGAATCATTTGCTTAATAAACAGCTTAATACCTTCTAATTCTTCCCTTTCATTCTATAAGTTATTTAAATCCATATATAGGAAGACCCACTCCCTATAGACAAGACAAATATGAGGTAGGAAAAAGGGTTAAGATATTGAATGAAGATTTTCCTTCCACATTGAACAAGGTGATATCCTGTAGATTCTTTAGTTGAATCCATCCATCCAACCTATTCTTAATATCCTTGCCTTTTAAGTTTTTTTTAAAGATTCCGACTATGACTTTCTAAAATAGGTTAGAACTATGCGGCAAAATATCAGAAGATGACTGTTCACTTTAAAAAAAAACAAGCAAGAAAGCAATTTGTTAAAGATAGCAGCTTGCATAAATCATAAAGTACTATTCAGCCAAAGATAACAGCAAACGGAAACATGTATCTAGTCAATCCAACTGTCCTTCCAAAGCAAAAAGGGACTCTACAATCAAAACCATCTATTTAAAAAAGGCAATAAAATTCAGTCTATGTAAGAAAAATCAGTTGCCACACTATAGTAACAGGCAACGAATTAAGTCTAACTGGAATTTAGTAAAGATGTCAGTGCTAGCAGGACCAGACCAGCCACAAACACTTATGTCTTTCACTTCCTCAGTGATCTGGAAGGAGGCCTTTATTAGAGCACTACAACCTCTGCCACAATAAGGAAAATAATGACAGTATCACAACATTCCTAATAGACAACAGCTGAAATGACTAAGCAAGGGAGAACAGGTGGAGAACCTGAGGCCACCAGCCTCTAGCCTATTATTAAAGCTGCAAAGAGCCCAAGAACCACAATACTGGTATTCAGCCAGAAGCTGAAGAAACAGATCAGGCTCTCAGATGATGATGGCTAGACCATGGTATCCATCATCAAGGGCATAAGGCACTGGAGTGATCATCACTCCTCGCTATTTTTTCTTATCTTTTTAGTATTATCCTATTATTACTCACAAATATAGGCTTGGGTCCTATGAGAAACCTAAACCTGTAGTGTAACAGAACAAAATTCCAGTGTATCAAAACCACCACTATGCCAAAAATAATACATATCAAATTATCCAGTTGGCAGGGCGGGCTCATTGTAATTACAAGTATAAGAAACAAACCGTGCAGGTTAAGTACACGGTCTCAAATTCTTTAAACTGCTTTTTGGGGGGCAGGCTGAGATATGAAGTTACTGTGACACAGCTGAGATAATGCAAGACCTTTTCCCTAAAATATATTCAACAGTAACGAAGCTAGGATAAAAAAAAAAAGTAATTCTCCCTATTGTTTAGTAAAGAAATGAGAGGTTGTTTTTTTTTTAAAAAAAAAAACACACATTACTTTTGAAGTAATGGGAGAAAAATCTGTCCCCTGCCACTTGTCTTCCTTCTGCCAAGGCAAAAATTGAACATACACGTTAATCCTAATTTAACTGAACCATGATATGGAGAGCAGATGCATGCCTATATACGTATAAAGTAAGGAACAGGAATTATGTCACAGGAAAACAAAAAAACCCATCTTTAATGATTTTTGGAATTGGAAGGTCTATCACCTCCTACAGGATGTTAGGAAGGCTCTAGCAGCGTGAAAAATTCACATTGGTCCCCAGAGAATAAAGTGCTTTTTCACATCCAACCATCTAAATTCCCAGCCATTAGATATGATTTCTTCTCTCAAAATAACTCTGTGCTGGGTTGTTTAGAAGCAGGTGGGGTAGAAGATCATGAAGCAGACTATTCCTTTTACAGAACTTACAGAAAGCATGGTTGGCCAATCCAGGGGTCCCAACCTTGGCGATTTTAAGATTTGTGGACTTCAAGTCCACAAGTCTTAAAGTCGCCACGGTTGGGGAACCCCTGAGCCAAGCTATTGTGGGTAGGGAAGAATAGTATCTTCTTTGAGATCCATTTGAAAACAATTATTAACCGGATAAAAATAAATAACACTTCCTGCAGAGTGCTCCCTTAAATAAAAGGCAATACTTCACAATATGAGTTGTGGCAAGTTCCACCAGTTCGTCCTGTAGTCTTTTAACAGTTATTGCCATCCACTCATGTGTGAATTCTGCTTCTCTCACCCTTCCAGCACCCACCACTTCTAAGTACAACAAGGATTATCAATGACCAGCATGACATCAATGCCATAAACTTCCAGGAGGTCCATGAGAAAGCTACGGTCGCCTTGAGGATCCAAACCCATTCCACGGGCATGGTCAGCTGTCAATGTCTTGTCCTGGCTGGCTGATATCTCCATCAATGTCTGAAATATCCGGTTGTTCTGCTCCATGAAGAACCTTAGAGATAATGTGAAATGAAGACATATGAAGATGTGTAAAACCTAAAGACATTCTGCTCTCCAAGCCCATGACTGAGTATTACTCATCTTCTATTACCCCATAATTTGGAAAAATGCAATTGGCCAGTAGTTAAATTGGCAATGACTTGAAACTGACTACAAGCCACCTGTCCTCTATGGAAAATAGCCTCCTAAGAATATACTGCTCAACAGGTTTCTACAAATACCTTCACTGAAATCCCATGCCCCACTACAAGGGGCTTCTTCAAGAATTCTCATTTAGACAGTGGACACCCTATCTGAATCCATTAATTATTGTTTAGGTAGATCTTTCTTTGCTTCTCTGTAGGATTCTTGATGCTAGCCTTCATTTATTTTTGCGTATACAGCCTCCCATTATATCAAAGGTAGGGCTACCTACTGGCCATGGCCAGCAAAATGTACACTCAGACACGTTCTTTTGCTCTACACACTTTGTCCCACTTCACTCTTTAAAATGGTTCTTTACAACATTAGCATGTTGCAAAGCAAACACTAATTCCTAGCATCATATGCATTTGCAGAAATGAGTCCTAAATAGGTTGTAAATGGTAGAGAGCATTCTAAGTTAATGCATCTAATAATTGCTACTCAATATGGCAGCTATTTTGTGAATGCACCCACCACAAAGCCTCAAAATTCAACCCAAAGCTGCTTTTTCACGAGGCAACTGGTCTTTCTGGTTTTTCCTTGGAAGACATTTCATCCAAGAAGCTTCTTCAGCACTGACTGGATGGTGGGGAATGGAAGAATTTATACTCCTTGCAGACAACTGATTATTTGCATACTTTTAGAGAGTTGTTGAGGCCACCTGGAGGTTTATCTCTCTCGTCAGGGTCACCTGAATAGTGCAAATGTGTGTGGCACCTTGGAACTGCTAAAAGGACTGTATTGTAGACTGGAGATAGATGATGTCATATCCTTCCCCCTCTGCTTAGAGAGGGCTATTCAGTTTTGACATAGATGGCCTCTTTGACCCCTATTTCAAACCAAAATTCAAAACTACTCTTAACCTAGTATTGCCATTTGCCATTCAGGTTCATATTATCTTGTCACTACTTTTCCAGGTTTGTGAACTACAATGGAGAGATTGTCAACTTTTAAACATGCAGCCTTTGACTAGCTAACAAACACTCTCAAGAGTTTTCTCTCGCCAACCTTCCTGATATTTATTTCCTTGCAGATGCTGAAAGTATAACATTTCAAACTCAGAGTGTGTTTTACTGCTTAGGTTTAGTTTCAATTTTCATAGCCCCATCAACAGCATAAATTATAGCTATTGCTACAATCTGATTACAGAAGTTGGAGTATAACTTTGAGGGTTCAGACTTTAAGCTGACCATAACAGATCTTTACTTTTGTATCACTCTTACACGCTACTATGCTTCTCTGAATATGTGGCCCCATGAAATATGGATTCCCTAGCTACTGAGACTTGCAAAAGTCCATGAAAAAACTACATTTTTCAGCAATAGCTGCCCCAGATTGGGTAAGTATGTATGGGGGAACCTCAACCTCACCCCATCATCACTGAAGTTCCAACTGCAATCGGGTAATCAGGAGACTTACAGAGGATGAGAAAAGGAGAGCAAAGGAAATAAGTTCCAAATAATCACAAGAGCACTTGGAAATATCTCAAAATATAGCTCATCACTAATTTCAAGTAGTACTCTGAACAATCTCATCTCAACAACTTACAAGATGAAGAGGTCCTCTTCACAAGAACTACAGTCACCATCTACTTCCTGGGAGTACATCAGCATCTGTCTGAATGAGGGAAACATATATACTCATCACATTGACAGATCCACAATTGGTGCCCTATAGCAATCCAAACAAAATATCCACAACCTGATCCAATACTTCCTGGACATGCTATCCATGGCATCATTACAACATCAAAGTGAGTATCTGGTCAGAGGCTGCAGTCAAGAAAACCTAGGTTTAGACTTTTCTTAATCTCAGTTATTTTGTAGCATTTTAAATAAGAATTTTCATATTCAAACTTATTGAGTGAAGCCTTCCCTGTGATTCTGCATAAACATGCTGGAAAGAAATGAGCAAAAATCTTGAACAATTCAGAACTAAAACAGAGCTTTCACTCAAGCTCCCCATAAAACTTGGAGAGAAGTCCCTAACCAATTTCTGGTACTACCTCTGATCATTAAGTCTCTGATACTTCTCCTTGTCTGCACTGTTAATCTTCAGGAGTGGTTGCAGATGCTCGTGATGTGTCTTTACATTCTGGTTATCTACATAGACATCATAGAGATCCTGCTTCTCTTCAAAGATTTTTTCTGTTGTGCCTGGTGAAAAAAACACAAGAGAATGGGTTGGATCCAAATTAAGTTAAATGCACTTGGGTTTTCCACCAAACTCAATGAGATATCAACACTTAAATACAAACAGCCACGGTGAGCATGGGCCGAAGTTTCATTGATGTTTATATTCAGCCTCCAAGGCTGTTGGAAACATCAATTGAGTGGACAGGCCCAAATATTTAGTGTGTTTTGCAAGGAGTTTTGCAAGTCCAAATGGCTGGCTAGGGAATTCTGGAAGCTGAAATCCCACAAGTCTTAAAGTTGTCACGGTGGGACTCCCCTGCTGTACGTTTTTCAGAAACTTAATACATGTATTTTGATTATTTTGACCAAAGAACTAGACAAAATCAAACCATGAAAAAACAGGGTGTCCTTGAATCTGCAGAAACGGCTGATGACAGCCTACATCAGGGGTGTCAAACTGCTGGCCTGTGGGCCAGATGCGTCACGAGGAAACCGCGCCCACCCTATTGCCGGCACTGTGGAAAAAGCTTCGATATGTCACGTAATGTCATGTGACATCACGGGTTTGACATATCTGGCCTACGTGCTTGCTATAGTATACGGAGACTATGATATACTAATTTTTAGATACTTCTTGCATGGAAGTGGTAGGATTTTTCAAAACACAGAACCAGATTTGCTACCTCTATCTGCCAAAATGAAAGGGTACATTCCTGAAATATGTTTAATATTCAGCTATGTATAAATGTTTCATGTAAAATTGTTGGAAGTCCAACGTCTAAAACAGCCAAACTGATCCCAGGTAGCACAAACACAATAAGGAAGTAAATCTGGAGCATTACATACTTACAGGCTACATATGATACTTCAGTCTCCAGCATTTCAATGTCGGCTACATTGACATAGAAAAATGGCTTAGACTCGGGGACAGTCCCTCCAATTCCCGGCAAGGAGACATTGGCAAGGCAGCAGCAGCAATAAACTATAGGCAAGAACAGGAAGAAACCAACAAGGCATAAGACAGGCAATGGGACCTCCAGAACTTATTTGAGAACCTGGGAAGAAACCTGCCACAGGAGGATATGTCCCTACCCAGAGCAATCAAATGATATTCCGAAAAACAAAAAAAATGTTCACTGAATGCCCTTGGAAAAAAACAGGGAAGCTCCAAAATGAAAAATGCATTTATGAATAAAAAGACGTTCAGGAATAGAGACACTAATTAACACTTTCGTTTTCCAGAATTGTATGTTTGCTTTTCTTTTCTTTTTTTTTCATGGAAGCCATCGCCTCTCTCTTCAGGAGTAAGAACGTCAACTCAGTAAGACACAACTGACTGAATGTGTATGCGGTTGAAAAACAGACAATTTAGTTTTCTCTACCTCACACCCACGCATGCCTGCCTGTCTTAGGAACTCAGGAGGCAACAGTGTGAATTTGCCAATAATGTAACTTCTTAAATTATCTACTAAGAATGTAATGAACTGTTAATGCGCTAGGCAGATTTGGGTTGCTGAAGTTCAAGTCCCCACCCAACCATGGAGCACATTGGGTAACTTTGGGACATTTTATTTATTTAGTTAGTTAGTTATATCCTGCCTTTATTAATTTTTACAAATAACTCAGGGCAGCGAACATATCCAACACACCTTCCTGCTCCTATTTTTCCCATAACAACAACCCTGTAAGATAAGTTGGGCTGAGAGAGAGTGACTGGCCCAACGTTGTTCAGCCATCTTTCATGGCTAAGGCGGAACTAGAATTCACAGTCTCCCGCTTTCCTAGCTTGTATCTTCACCTCCAGACCAAACTGGCTCTCTTATTCCATTTCTCTGAGCCCAACCTAACTTACAGGGCTTTTGTTGTGAAGAAAAGCATGGAGAAGGGGCATCCTCCCTACCATTTAAAGCAGGGGTCCCCAATCCCCGGTCCATGGACCAGTACCGGGCCGTGACATGCCAACAACTGGGTTGCACAAACAAGCAAAGCCCCATCCGCAGGATGCAGGCAGCACACAAAACCACGCACCCTCCGGTCTGCAGAAAAACCTCTGTCCACGGAACTGGTCCCTGGTGCCCAAAAGGTTGTGGACCTCTGATTTAAAGCACTCGAGAGCAACAGTGCAATATGAATGCAATTTCATTAAAATTAAAAATACATAAAAATTGTTTAAAATAACATTTACACTGTCAACATGCTAAAAAATACTATGCTAGATAACAACTGTTTTCCATTTATAAAACGTATGAGTTGACAGCTAATTTTTCAAAGGTTTTGCCAAAAATCAGCATTTACTTCCAGTTTGGGACAAAACCAGCCCACAGCAAACCACTCGTTCCTTTAATGGCCATGGTGCTCACTTTATGACTTTCTGCAAAAAAGGTCACATGACCGACCAGCTTTATAACTGTCATAACACATGAACATTATGGGCAGGCTCTATTACGATCATAACTTGAGGACATGTGTAGTAGGAAAATATTTTATTAAACAACAATTAAAATGGCAAAGTATTACTATAATTTGGTCTGCAAGAGAGTAACTTCCTTAAAAAAACGTTTCTCTCTCTCCCTCTCCCTTCTTCCCTCTTCCTCTTCTTAAATTTCTGTAATATGAAATGGGTGAATTATGCTTTTTTCTGTTGCCTGATTTTGTAACAAAGACCACATGCTCTACCCTCCTTCCTACCTCTGTAGCAGACCACGCCGACGGGAGGTGGGGAAAATATCAAAATGCGCTTGCGAAGCAAGGCAAACTTCCAGAGGGTCAGAATCTGCTCTCCAAAGAACTTGATGAACTGAGACATACAGCCTGCAGGGTGGGTGATCTGCAGCCAGAGGAAACAGCAAGAAACCGAGGTCAAAGCTGAAACAAGGGAAGCGAGCGGCTACAGAAATGGCAATTTCAGCAAAAGCTCTGGGAAGAGAGGAACTACCCAGGGTTGGTATCTCTCTCTCTCTCTCTCTCTCTCTCTCTCTCTCTCTCTCTCTCTCTCTCTCTCTCTCNTTTTTTTTATAAATAGCGAAAAATTGGTTGTTCTCTCTCACTCCCAGCAAGGAATTGACTGCTGTGATGAACAGACACCCAGAGTTTTATTTCATTAAATATTTAGGCTGCTGCCAAAATAGTCTGATGCAGTCGGCTCCCAACCAAATAAAATGCGAGGAAACATCCACAGTAAGTAAAACAAAACAAAAAATTTGAACATAAGCATCCACAGCAAGAAGCACAAAAACAATATAATAATATAATATAAAAATTCCATAACCGGAGGGAGAAAAATACACTACCCATACCCTTAGAACCCAGAGTAACCAAAAAAATATAGCATCTACTGGTAATAATGAAACCAACACACAAAGTTCAACAGTCCCAATTATTTCTCACCTTCATCTCTGGATACATATATTTGTGGATGGAAGGCAGCCAGTGGATGGGTTGCTGTGAAACAAGAGTGCCTGCTGGGAAGACCCCTTTCTTGTCATCGTAAAAGGCTTCCAAGTGAGAGTAATGTCCTGGCATTTCCAACTGATGCCTGGAAGGGAAACAAATAAACAAGACAAGCAGCTGCGGAGTGATCCCTCTATAGCCTCCCTTATCAGATGCACAATTCCTTTCCTATTTATCTTCATAACAAGACTGACAGCAAAGTGGTCCAGATGAGGCCTGGACTGAGCCCCTCTGTTTGGGAGGGTGGGTGGGTTGGTAGATATGCCCAATTTGAGGGAAAAGGTCTGGGTTTCCCAGCAAATCCTCAGAAAGAATAGCAATAGCACTTAGACATATATACCACTTCATAGTGTTTTATAGCCCTTTCTGAGCTGTTTACAGAGTCAGTATATTGCCCCCGACAATCTGGGTCTTCATTTTACCAATCTTGGAAGGAAGGCTGAAATCAACCTTGAGCCAGTCAGGATCGAACTGCTGGCAGTCGGAAGAATTACCCTGCAATACTGCATTCTCACCACTGCACCACCACGGAATCACACACATGGCATTTCTCTTGCACAGACAGGTCTTGATTCGGTATCAGATTCATGCCGGAGCACACCCCATGTGGCTATATCCCATTTTCACTTGGATTTCACCTATTTCTACTTTATGGGGAATACCTTCATTTGGGTAACAAATAAAAAAAACATTGGTTCACAGCCAAAACCATAGCAGTGATCTAGAAGATCTAACAGGGGTTCCCATCATGAACTGAACACTGCTTGTAGGACACTTGGAGGTGTTAGAAGAAACACCACCCCCACGTGCTTTCTTTATCTAACGACCTACCTGACCTGGTTCTCCAAGAAGTGCATGTATCTGTACAACAGAGTGTAGGAAGGAGAAAGAATGCCCACAGATTTCATCCGCGCACCACGTTCCAATTCACTCTCCACAGGCATATTGGCAAAACAAGCCAAACCAAAGCAAACGCCTTTCCGGAAGTAACTAGAAAAGAATAAGGATACATCTTCAAAGCATTAGCAGACAAATGATTAAAAATCTAACAAAGCCTGATGGTAGTGATAAGGACTATGAAAACAGGTCATGGGAGAACCAGAGAATTTACAGCACACATAGCACTTATGCCAGTGATGGCAAACCTTTTAGAGACCGAGTGCCCAAAAACTTGCTCCGCCCCGCTCCACCCCCTGCCCCGCCCCCGCTCTGCCCCCCATCCCCTGCCCCACCTGCCCACAGGACCACTCACCACCTCCAGGGCCCACTGCAGATCGCCCAGGCAACCTAGCAGCGCTATGGCAGCCACACCCTCTGCCTGTGCCCTGCAGCATCAACTGCATGATGGGGTGTGAAGGCACAGTCTTGTCTACGCTGCCTGGCTGCCATGTCCTTGGCTACGCTGTTCCGTGTGGGCCACGCTCGAGGGCGAGTCTCCTTCAGGGGGGCTGCTGGAGAGGAGGGGGTCGCGGGGGGAAGCAAGGCTGGGGCAACGGCACATGTGCCCACAGAGAGGGCTCCAAGTGCCGCCTCTGGTACCTGTGCCATAGGTTCGCCACCACTGACTTATGCCTTTGCTCTTCAACTATGGGACTGAGAACTTGTTCTGTCCCCGTTCCGACCCACACACCCAAACAGCCAGCCGAGGGTTTAAAGACTTCTCCAGACACCACTTCACAGATAAGAAACTTGGCAGCAGCTCCGTAGCTGCCTGCCAAGACCTTTTACTCCAAACACACAGAAACAAAAACAATACACACAGTTTAAAACCACAGCACACTACTTTGCCAGAGATTCAGNCCACCACCACCCTTTTATAGCCTGTGGGGTGTGGTCCAGTGACTCAGCTTAATCTCTGGCACGTCTCTTTTTCTGCTGCGCACGCTTGTCGCTCCTACGCTGGCGTGGATCCAGCCACAACTTTTCTTCCTCATTATCCGACACACCTGGCTCCTGGCCAATCTGAGAAACACCGGGCTCCTGGCCAATCTCAGAACCATCTGGCTCCTGGTCAATCTCTTCTCCGTCGGAAGACACCTGAGGCATTGCCAAAGAGGAGGGTCCTAGAGAGGGAGGCCTAGCCATCTCCTCTCCTTCATGTTCGGAGCCTTCGTCCTCCAATAAGAGGGGCTCACAAGACGGAGCCACAACAGAACTAACTTGCAATCTATCCTTAAAATACAGCACTAGCACAGTTTCCTTAGGCTGCTTTTTCGCCTCTTGGGAAGAATATTATTCCTTCAATCCTAGCTCCAGTTCTAGGATTAAATAAACTTTATTTTATTAATTATATAGAGGCCTTCCAAGAAGCCTTTCAGAAAAAATACCCAGACTACAATATTTAAGAACTGCAGGGGACCAATTTCACCAAGACAGATAAGATATAGGTTCTGAATGTACACCCACACGATAGGGACTGGAAAATTCATCATTAAAAGGTGTGATCGTTAAGCGAGCATTATGTAACTGATTTTATGACCTTTTTTTGCTGAAATTGTTAAGTGAATCATAGTGGTGCTAACTGAGACATCACATGACCGTGACTTGTGACCTTCCCTGCCAGCTTCCTCAAAGACTTTGCTTGTAGGAAGCCAACTGGGAAAGTTGCAATGGTGATCATGTGATCACAGGACAGTCCAACTGTTGTAAAGGGCCTGACTCATGATCATGTGACAACAGGGCTGCTGCAATGGCTGTTAAGTGTGAGGACCAGTCATAAGTCGCTTTTTCCAGCACTGTCATAACTTTGAACAATTATTAAACAAATGATTGTTAAGCAAGAACTACCTGAAGATCAGTAGATATCAAAATACCCAAATACTCTATTTCATTAAGTTTTTATTTGACACTTAAAAGGTAGCAAAGTAAGTACCAGATATACTTTCTTTGACTAGCAATTGATTGATAGCAGAGGCCCACAGAGAAAACCATCATTAAACAACTACAACTTGTGGGCAACTTAGTAAAAGAATTATTATTCTGTTCCAAACAAATATATATATATATTTGTATAGAAATTCAGAATTTCAGAAATACTGAAAAAAAGGGTAAGAAATGAAGAGAGAAACAAAAATGTTGTGGGAATTTATTACAGACCACTTGGACAGGCAGAAGATGCTGTAAGTAGGCCCTTCTGTGTCAGATGATCGATGTTTCAAAGATGGATGCAATAAATGTTAATGAGAAATATAAATTATCCTGACATTTACAGGAATCTAAGTCTACCAAGAGGACCAACAAATCCTTATCCTCTCTTGCTGACAATTTTATCTGTCAGAAAGTGGAAGAAAAAAGAAATTGCGTCTGCTATCCTGGACTTCATCCTCATTGTCAGGGAAGAATTAACTGAAGGAATTGGCACCTTGGGAAAAGCGTTTACGCTATCTTTGAATCTGAGATATTGAGAAAAATCAAATCGGACGTCAGAGGAGTTGAGAAAGTGGTGAACTGGCAATGACAAGTGGAAATGTTCTCTTATTTTGTGTTTACATTTCGTCAGATTGGAAATGGAGGTCTAGCTGGTTATCATTATGTCACTGGGAGCCAGCATGGGGTTATTAGAAATTGTACCAAACTATATGTTTAACTATATGTCTTTCTTTAGCGTTACTAGCTTAATAGATCAGGAGAATATAATCAGGCAAATAATTTTAATTATGGAGAGCCTTGAGAGGTCTTGGGGGACCCCCAGGGGTCCTAAGACCGCACTTTAAGAAACACTGCTGGAGTGGATCCTGCACTGAACAAACTTAGGATTCAATTACAAATCTGGAAGGCACTTTGCTGCTTTCAACATGGCTGGGAAATAGTCAAGCACTCCCTTTTGCTTTTCAGCACAGATGCCAATTATATTCCAGATGTATTCCAGTTGCCAGACTAGTCTTTGAGAGCAACTGCACTTATAATATGATAAAATAGAGATGTTTACTGTTTCTTTATAAATCAATCTTCCAACATTGGGTCTTACAAGATATACTAAGATATAGACATTACCAGAGGCAGACACAATGTTTAGCATACCTTGTTTTCCAAATTTACGATTCACTCCTTTAAGAAGAATGAACAGTTACAGCCAGGAGGGACAAGGGGCACTGGGACCATCAAAAAAAGTCAAGATTTATAACTGCAACATGTCCATATTTTATGTGCTTCATGTGCATAGCGCACATTAAAAAGAATGGGGTTTTGATGGCGTAGGTGCAGCTAGCAGCTTGACTGTTTTTTCCTCCTTCAGCTAGCCCTGGACAGGTACTTTGAAAGGTGAATTTGACTCTGAAGAAATCACACAAATATATACAGACTGCCCAGTGTGGTTTAATATTACGAGGCATAGCAGTGGGTAAGAGGTTATGGACAGTAAACCCTGGTCCTTGGTGCTGTGCATGCTACATTCGTCCTCAAATCTGCAGTCACCTATACATATGATTGACATTAATGCTGAGCATTTTGTCTTAATAATGAAAACCACTGTACCCTTTTAACCCTTTCCAGATAACCGAAAGATCTGTATAACTGAGTGGTGCAGGAAGTCCGCAATGCACTCACATGAAATCAGACTGGACTTTATGGGATCCACTGGCCATAGATTTGAACTCAACACCTTCCAGATCAATGTCTTGTGGCAAACACCATTCGACCATATTACCTGTGCAGAAAGGAGGAAAACAAAACATTAATATGGATCCAGGACAAGACCAAGGCCATAAAAATCACAGTTATGTGCCTTTCTACTTCTGAACTACTGAAAGCAGAGCCCCCATTGTCTGATATTATAAATTTTACCGCTAAAGGAGAATATTTGTAGCTCAGGATTGAAACTGAGGGGCCCTTGGTGCTCTCTGCGCTTGGCTGTTTTCTTGTAGACTTTTCATTACCTAAACTAGGTTACACCATGAATGCTAGTGATGCTAGCACTAATGATATTACCTAGTTTGGGTAATGAAACATCTGCAAGAAAACAACCAAACTCAAAGACTACCAAGGACTCCTCATAAGTTTTACAGAAATAGCTACTTCTTCCTCATAACCAAAATTCTTCGGGCACCCAGATTAGCTCTAGTTGAATTTTTTTTTTCTCTGAAAGAAATACATCAATTTCTCTAAACCTTCTGAAAATGTGCTTTACATTTAAAAAAAAAATCAGCAAGGGCTATTGAGTTAATGTTATAATACATGTCATTATAATTGCACTGCTGTCTTCCCTAAGTGTTTTATTGTTTAATGTGGGTCAATACCCATCCATCCATCTATCTCAAACATCCAAGTGTTCCCTTACTATGCTAGGTACCGGGAAGACTAAGAGGTTATGCCTTACCTCCAGACATTTGCTAAATGCAATATTTAGATTTATTCCAGCCCTTGGGAGCCTTACAGAATGAGACATCTCCAATTTAAGTAGATATCAGACTTAAGAAACACCGTTTCAGATCAAAATGTGGCTTTCTGCCCTGGCTGGTGACTGGGGTTCACGCAGAAGTCTTTCCCATCACCTACTACTTGATGTCTGTTAACTGGTGCTGTGGCCAAAACCTGGCTCACCTAAAGCAACCAAATCACTTTGAAGATACAATGTAATTTTATTAGCATGCATACAGTATATATTGGGCTCCAAAACCAGAGCTGTGGTCAGTGAATAGAAAGTTTGGTTTACTGGACCAGGTTCCTGATTGATTCTTCTCCCTGTGGCCATCTAGGATCAATTCAACCTTCTGTATGAATGTTTACTTACAAGGAAAAATTAAGCAGTCCCCATATACATGGGGTGGGGATTTCATAGGTTTATTAATGTAAGCAGCTTACATGTCTCTGGGGGGAGATTATCTTTATACTACTACTTTGGAGATGCCAATGATTAAGTCTGGGATCGTTTGCATGTAAACCACATGTGTCCTCCCTTTCCCTTTCAGTCTGCAGTTCTCCCTAGGCATCCTATATCCGAGTTGATACAATCAGAAAGACCATTTATTTGATGGAAGCAAAGCAGCACACTGTTCTGTATCCCCTTTGCTGCAGTATAGTGATTATCCAGTTGTTTACAATCTATATATAGTACCATTAGTCCTTCCCCAGATCCATGACTATTTCTCTGGGAGCTTTTTCTTTCCGATATCACTGTGGATTATGCTGTCATATTATCCTACCTCCTAAGATTTCAAGTACACGTTTCTTCCTTCCTCTACCCATATTATCCCAATTCTGGTTAGGCAAGTTTACTCCTCATTATTATTTATTTTATTCCATCTTTCAGGATGACAAACTTCCTGAAATGCCTTAAAATGACTATAAGTCATAAGAGTAAACATTATTCAAACAAAACAACTATAATTATTTCTGTCCCATTATTCAAGATGACATTCCTGCCATCACAAAAACATTGATTATGTGCTATCAACTTATTTTCAACTCCAAGTGATCACAGAGATTAATTAAAACGAGTCAACCAACTTTCATGATACTTCCCATTGGTGGAAAGACCCAGGAGATGGGGGAAGATGGATATGGAGAAATGTCCAGTGTTGTCACCTGCCTTTCTCATAATATTGAATCATGTATTCTGAAGTCAATGAATAAACATCACTGACTGGGTTCATCCACTGAGGTGAGCCAGAAGCCATGTACTATGCAACACAATGGGTGGTTTCTTACAAAACATGCTAACTCAAAACCAAACAAAGCACATTATGACTGGCCACCAATGACTTTTCCAAGGACATCCAGTGTCTTGCAACTCCTGATCTTAGTTCAACAGACTACTATACCACAATAATCTTCTCTTGCAATGAGTAGGACCTTTTGATTGCACAAACAAAATAATGCTCAGCGTCTGAATATCTGAAATAGAGGCAATGTTTCTTTGGATCAATATTTTTCAATCCAAAAAATTCATAGTGAGGCCAAAGGGGGGGGGGAAGAGATACAGACAGATTAACAGAGTTGGAAGGGACCTTGGAGGTCTTCTAGTCCAACTACTTGCTCAAGCAGAAGACCCTGTACCATTCTGGACAAATGGATGTGCAATCTCTTCTTAAAAACCTTGAGTGATGGAGAACTTACAACTTCTGGAGACAAGCCGTTCCGTTGATTAATTGTTCTCACTGTCAAGAAATTTCCTTTTAATTCTAGGTTGGATCTCTCTTTAATGATCATCCACTCATTATTTCCTGCTTTCCCTCAGGTGAATTGGAGAATAGGTTGACCCCCTCGTTGCTGTGACCGCCCTTCGTATTGGAAGACTACTATTGTGTCAATCTCTAGTCCTTCTCTTCGTTAGACTAGATATATTGTTCCTGCAATTGTTCATCATGTGTAGCCTCCAGTCCCCTACTCCCTTGAGTATCCAGAGAAAAGCAAGGATATAAATGCTATATAACAATTAATAGTAAATTATCATGAGGCTCAAGATTTATAGAGCTTCATTTATACACACACATAAAACCACACACGAAAAACAAAGAAATTAAATTCAAATCTATCATGGGGAGGAGGAGTAAGATGTGTGATTGGAATTTTAAAATGAAGCATTCTGGACCTGTACAACACTGTCTGTCATGTTCTTCCAGGCATTTAAATAAATCTTGAGGGTTTTTATGCCTGGTTAAATAATGTTCCTGCTTTATGGAGAGAAAAACGTCTATGAAAATATTTATTTGTTTTGATTTAGTGTAGGGCACTAGCTTGTTTGTGGGGAAAATATCTAAACGCTGCTTGAATATATTAGAGAATTATCCCATCTCTCAAATAAGCTACTTCTTTTTTTCCCCAAGTCCCTTTTCAAGATATTTTGAAATGTTCCCCAAATGCATTGGGAAGTCACTCCAAACAGTTGTTAAATCAGGATAATGGGATTGTAATCCAATACATCAAAGGGATAGTTGGTTGAGGAATACTGTTCTAAGGACCTGATGTTTCAGCATGACATGTCTTAGGAGACAGTTTAAAGAGGAAGGACCGAAGAGGCTAGCTAGTGCAGAATCAGATAATTGACCTATTTGAGTGTTCATAATCTGCATTGATTGGCAGGATTTCAGAACTATTCACTGGGGCCTGTTAATATTCAAGAGGTCAAGTAGAGCAGTGTTTCTCAACTTTTTTTCTCCCATGGCTCCATTCCATCACTCTTTTCTCCTGTGGGCCACCTGTCCTATTAACGATACAGACAGATCTTGTGCATTTTCTGGCATCAACAACAGTATGTTCAATCTAATATACTTTGCTTTTCTGTGTCTCTGTGTCTACTATGGCCTCCCAGTCCACATTTTTCACTTACAGCTCTCTTGATATATCCTCGGCCCCCGAGTGCAATATGATCCCTGGCTAACAACCACTGAACTACAGGACAATTTGCCCAGTATCCTATCCTTGGACTAGCCCTGCATTCTCTGCATGAAAACATTTGTGCCCTCCCACTAAGCCTCACCTTGTTCAGTAGACCAATTACAAGTAGTCCTCGAGTTACGAGTGTAATGGAGACTGCCCATTCCACTTGTAACTCGAAAACTCGTGGGAGTGAATCTTGTACCTCATTAAGACGCATGCAGTTTGTTAAGTGAATATGAGGTATCTCAAGGTGGGAAAGGCCAAGGAGGGCCTAGTGTGGAACAGGCGCCCAAGGCCTCCCCGACCCACTAAGATAATCTCACGCTTCCCTTTCCCTTCATGCCGCGCCGGACTCACCTTCAAAAGATCCATCTCCTCTCTGCTGCGGTTCCTGCTGCCAGCCGGATCTAAGGTCGGGGGACGCTTCCGCATGCCTCCAGAGGCCGGATCGGGGCATTGGAGGCCTTTTCCAGGCTGCTGCCACCCGGATCTGACACCAGGGGACACTTACACGGCCCTCCGGTGGCCTGTTTCGGGTGGCATCAGCCTGGAGAAGGCCTCTGACATCCCGATCCAGTCTCTGGAGGAACGTGGAAGCGTCCCCCAGCCTCAGATCTGAGCAGCAGCGGTCTAGAAAAAGCCTCTGATGTCCCGATCTAGCCTCTGGAGGCACGTGAAAGGGTCCCCTTGCTTTAGTTCTGTTCTGTTGCAGAGAACAGAGGCCTAAAGTACCATGAGATCACGCAAGATCAGTATCATGAGATCTTGCCCCACGGATCTCAAGTGATCTTGCGTTACTTTAGGCCTCCATTCTCTGCAAATGCACCGAAGGCCTGGAGCAGCCAAGAAAGCGAAGGATCTCAATCTTCACAGGGTATTAAAGGCCTGGTGCCTAGGGAGACCCGGGATGGGGGTGGGGAGGGAGGGCATAACCAGGGTGAATGTTGCAGAGCCTCTGCAGTCGCTTGTAAGGGCGAACGACTGCTGTGGTGCTGCAATATTCGTAATTTTGGGACTTGCTTGTAAGTACTAGGTGGCACTTATCATGTAACTTCGAACGAGTGTTAAGTGAATGCTCGTAACTCGGGGATTATTTGTATCCATTTCTCTAATTTAAGATGGATCTCTATTTTTATGTACTCCTATGCTTTCATTCAACTTTAAGTTTACTCTGTCTGAATAATTTTCAAGTGTCTGGCTAGATTATTTTGGGCTAATCGCTTTCTCTCAGCCCATGAAATAAGGCTTGGGCAACAAGCCAGTCAGTCAGTTCCTGCCACAACCGATGGATCCACTTCTGGTTGATCTGAAAAACAGACCCTGCACTTG